GATTTTTCTGATCTGACATGAAGGCTGCAAAATAGCTCTTTTTTTATTTATTTTAATTTTATTTTTTGACAACTGAATAGTAGTTTATAAGCAGGCTAAGTCTTTACGTTCAAAGTCAGGAACTCTGTGTGATACTTCTGATCTGAGACACCTATTTTGTATGATCTTGATCACTTCTGAAGGTGCATGGGTGAGTCTTGACTCTGATAAGGAAAGTGATGAAGATTAGTCTCACGGATGTTGTTAGCTGGCATAAATACCCTCTTGGAAAACCAGAGGTTTTAGTTGCAATTTTTCTGGGAAATTTCATGTAGAAGATTCCTCTTTCTGTATTAATTAACATACCTGCACTAAGAGTTGGGAAACTTCTGAAATTCTCAAAAAAAAAAAACAAAAAAAACCAAAAAAACTCATGGACTTTACAATATCTGTTAGCCATGAGAAGAGCAACGCAGGGGAATGAAAAAGCTGTTGTAGAACTCATCATCCTTGGTTTCCAAAGTATTCCAGGAGGGCAATTTATCCTCTTCTTGATATTTCTAGTGACCTACACTGCAACTGTGTTAGGGAACCTCCTGATCATGGTGCTGGCTGTGACAAGTCATCACCTTCATAACCCCATGTTCTTTTTCCTGGGGCATCTGTCATTCTTGGAGACCTGTTACACTTCCACTATCCTGCCCAGAGTGTTGGCAAGTCTCATAACAAAGAAATATGTTCTTTCCCTTCATGGTTGTTTCCTGCAGTACTTTTTCTTCACTTGGCTAGCAGGTGCAGAGTGTTGCCTCCTGACTGCCATGTCTTAGGACCGGTACATGGCCATATGCAGACCACTGTGTTACACAACCATCATGACCAGCAAGTGCTGCCTCCAGTTAGCAGGTGGATCTTGGGTAAATGGGTTTTTGGCTGGTGCCATCGTCACGTCTCTGATGCCACAGCTGACGTTCTGTGGCCCAAATGAAATCGATCATTTCTTCTGTGACTTCACGCCAGTGGTGAAGCTCTCCTGCAGTGACACCCACAGGATTGAGCTTGTAAAATTCATCTTGGCCTTCCTTCTGACACTCCCCCCGTTCCTCTTGACACTCACGTCTTCTGTGTACATCAGCAACACTCTCCTCAGGATCCCATCCTCCACAGGAAGGCTTAAGGCTTTTTCTACCTCTTTTTCCCACCTCACTGTGGTGATACTTTTCTATGGGATGCTGATTGTGGTGGACTTGGTACCAGAAAGCAACACGCTGGGAGAGCTCCACAAAGTGTTCTCTGTCTGCTACACAGTTCTGACTCCACTGCTCAATCCCCTCATCTACAGCTTAAGAAATGCCAACATCAAGAAGGCTTTGAGAATGGCTGTGAACAGATGTCGAGGTTCTGATAAGGTGTAAACAAGCCCTGGTCAATTAGTAAGTGAAACTGAAACAGCCTCGAGAAAACTTTTCATCTCATAAGATGAAAGGTAGTCTTTTCCCCTACAAGATGAATTTTCCAGCATTCCAAGAGAGTCATGGAAGTGAGTGTTCTTGCTGCTGGGCTGCTAGTGTAATTTCTATCCTTAGACTAATTAATGTGTAAGCATTTCTACAAAAAACACCAATATCCTTAAACAAGAAGAGAAATAGCATAGAGGTCTCCAATATTTCTGTGTTTGCACCCGTACTCTCTGATTTTCAGAACTGCTTGCAAGATGTCTCATTGTCTGGTCTATAAGTATGAAAAGTGATCTAAAAGTGAGGGGAGGGTTATGAATACATTTAGCTCCTACTGACAATGCAGGCTCAGCTTGTATATACAGAAGGTATAAATGTATAAATAAAGGTCTAAAAGTATAAAAATCTCTATTGATCAGATAAGTACAACGGCACAGAACCTATGAGGCAATGTGCCTTTTTGAGCCAGCAAACCAGATTGGCTCTCCATCTCAACAACACTACATGCTTGTCAATAATTTGATTGCCCTCAACAGATTCCAAAAACATGCACTGCTGTGGTTTTGTGTGCACTGGTTCCTAGGCTTTTACTACAGTTGTGACAAGGGAATGTAGTTTTGTGGTAGAAGGATGAGATTCAAGTTTGTCCTTCCCTTATAGCTGTGGTGTAACTTTGTACAAACCCATTCTACTGAGCTATCCATTTCCTGGGTGGCCCAGGAACTGCCCTGCTGGTCTCAGCACAGACGAGACAACGGCCTGGTCTAAGACATGGTGCTAAACCTTAACCCATCAATAGGCTCTATTTGAATATTTCAATGTGTTGGGTCATATTCTGGATGGAGAATCATCCTGTTCCAGAGACTGCTCGTGGTGGTTCCTACCAAAGTGTTTCCTACTTAGATAAGACAGTTGGAAATCACAGAGGAAGGGATTGTCTCCAACTACAGATGTTTGAATGTAGCCTAGAAGATGTTTTGTACACAGTTAAGATGAAAAAATCTTGGTGCTGGAGGAAGCAAAGAAACCATAGACTGGCCCAACATAAGAATTCAGGAGGAAAATGTTTTGGGGTGTCTCATGCTATCCACCTGAAGATGCTGTCACAAAGATTCTTGCAATGCAAAGTCCCATCACCACCTGCAACAGACATCCTTTCTGGGGGATTTTGATTCACCGTCTGATCGTTACCCTTTGCGAAGATCCCAATTAATTATTACTGCCTTTTTAATAAACACTCAAAGCAGTGCTGTGCTCTTTATTTCTGGCTGAAGCCGTGTTGATAAATGTGTGTTAGATTCCT